GCTGAGCATCCTGTGTCTTGGACGTAGGAACAAGCTATGGACTTCGGACCAGCAAATTTGTTCACATCAGATGGGCAAAAGCAAACTGGGGGTCTTCCTAATGCTTCGACCCCCAACAGCTCCACTTTGTTTGACAGCAAACACAACATGGCATTCGAACAGGCCACGCCTAATAAGGGTCCGTGACCTTATGCCCTGAATTATGATTTGAACTGCCCCTGTAGGTGTTTAGTATGTTCATTCAAAAGCCCACTCCTTATACAGTACACAGATCTTCTTTGCACCTGAAATCCAGCTTGGCAGAGCTTCTAGTCTTGAAGAGGCATGAGAGACGTAAGAAGACAAACTACTACTTTGAAAACCCTCGTTCTTGAACTGGCGGTCTGGCACTGGGTGAGCTTGAGGGAGTATATATGCCTGCAGTGCTGCACAAACAGCAGTGAGCTCGCCAGTTCGGCGAGGTTTGGCAGGGTAACGCAGGTAGCGATTGGCTTCCGCATTGCTGCAATAATCAGACATCCATCCCAGCTGCTGCAAGTAGAGCTAGGCTGAGGGGCGTATCGCCTTGTTGCAACTGCACGGTTCCTACTCAGCGAGGTGTAGAAGCCATCAGGAGTCAGCATACACTCGTCGGATTCCATGGCGGCCCTCAGGAGGGAAGCCACTGGCCAGGCCAGATTGGCAGCATCAGTCATAGGATGCCTCGGAGTAATTCTGCTTGGTTTTGTCATTCTGTGCCTTGCACTCCCGACGGGGGAGAGCAACTCCTTGTCGAAGACGATGACTACGGTTGCTCAGAACAATGCAAATATTGTTAGCAGGCGTCTCGGAGATTACCACTACGATGCGGATTACCACTATGATGAAGGCAACAAATATGGCAAAGGGAACTACAAGGATGGCAAATTTGATGACAAGAAGGGTTACGACGAGTACTACAGTCAGAAGAAGTACGACAGCACGAAAGACAAGGACTTTTACTCCAAGAAGTACACTGAAAAGAAATATAATGAAAAAACGTATGAAACGAAATACTCCGACAAAAAGAAGTATGATGATGACAAAAAGTATTACAAGTATGATAAGTATTACAAGTATGATAAGTATGACAAGTATGATATGAAGGATGATAAGTATGATAAGTACGATAAGTATGATAAGTATGATAAGAAGGATGATAAGTATGATACGTATGATAAGAAGGATGATAAGTACGATGAGTATGATAAGTATGATGAGTATGATAAGTATGATAAGAAGGATGATAAGTATGATAAGTATGATAAGAAGGATGATAAGTATGATGAGTATGATAAGCACGATAAGTATGATAAGTACGATAAGTATGATAAGTATGATAAGTACAACGACAAGTATGAGGAGTATGATAAGAAGGATGATAAGTATGGCAAGTATGGAAAGAAGGATGATAAATATGATAAGTACAATAAGTATTATAAGTATTAGAAGAAAGAGGACAAAAAGAATGTTAAGAAGGATGAGAGGAGGGGTTATTATTACAAGAGCTATGGCGATGAGTGTGATAAAAGTGAGTACTCCATGGAGTCGGATGAAGAGAGGCATGACGAGAAGCAGCACAACAGCCAGCAGGACGAGCAAAAGAAGTATATGGCGACAGGAGCTAGGACGAGAAGTATAAGCACAGGAATCGTGATGATTACTAGTACGAGGGTAAGAAATGTGATTAGAAGTGAACGAGCAATCATTCAGTTATGAAAGATGTATTCTTTCCCCCAAAAAAAAGAAAAAATGTCACTGTCATGCTGCATGGGAAGTGCGACAAGAAGAGCAACAATACGTAGAGTGAAACGTCTGATTCCTGGAGCACATTGAGTGACGCTTTACTTTCACAAGAGGATGCCATATGTGCTAGAGATGGGAGTGACAATGACCTTCAGAAGTGATGGCCTAGCTCTTTTTTTTTTGGCAGCTTTTACATGGTAGTGATACAGAGATCATCGGCAAAGTCGGGAGACATAAAGTGGGTTAAACAGAAGAAATAAGTGCTTGATTTGCTTGTTCTTGCTGCAGGGGCAGCAGATAAGGGTAATTTTGAATAACTGTCCAAAGCAAGTAGACATTGCAATAATATCGGTCTGGTTCTGCTTTGTGTGACATCTACCGATGAGTGTGGGTGGTTTCTACCTTCGCATGAAAGTCGTTCAAACTGATTCGTTGCAGTCAGACTTATGCCATTACCATCTTCCATAGCAGCGATCCGGACAACCGGACAGGGATCCAGACCGTCCGGTGTCCAGTTCAGGTGTCCAGATCCCTGTTCGTATGGTTGGAAAATTGGGGGTGGCCTAATTTTTATTGGGTCACCCCAGGTGGTTTTCTTCCATCCTGGGCTGCCGTGGAAAAATACTGACTGATTTTTTATGGGCCCTGTCTGGCATCCAGACAGCGCCGGAAGGAGGCCGTTTCATTATAATAATAAAAAATCATTCCATGAGCGTAATTGTGCCCTCCCCTCAGGGGTCTGGTCCCACCTACCATTGTTGAGTTTAGAAAACTTAACGGTGTCACACCACTTCGACATTAATAAATTGGAAACAAGAAATTAAAAAACTGAAAAAAAGGTAAAAAAGCGCTAGAAACAGCTTTTCTCCTTATTTTTTATAACGTAACTCGGAGAAATGAAACATGTCTGGAACAGTCGGAGTGAATTTCTCCCTGAAAAAGGGATACTCCCCGTGTTGAGGGGACAGGAGGTCACCATATGTAAAATGGACAGGGACGACGTGGATGGCCAAATGCATTCATTGCCCAAAGAAGGAAATGAGTTTGGTGCCAGACAGCCAAACACAGCTGTCAGAGTTCCTCCGTCTCAGGATGCAATGAGGTCTAAAAAACAAAAAAAAAAGGAAAGGCACTGCAGTTGAGAAATGTACCCTACCCTCGGCAGGGTAGTCTTCTCAACGGAAAATGGCTTCCTGCCCAAACCAAAAGGGCCAACGCATACTACAAAACGGATTTCACGTCAAAGAAAAATTCTACAAAATGACTAAATCTAATAGGTTATTCTCCTGTATTTTGGTACCATTAGATTCGCAATACATCAACGGCAGAGCTCCGTCCCACCATGCCACACGTGATAGAAAGCTCAGCGTTGAGAAAAATCAACGCTGTAGGTGGGACCAGACCCCAGGGCTTTGAGGTTTGAATTAACATTTTTTTTTTAATTCGCACATGGCGTTACTCAGTCCTTCCCAACGCGCCCATGGCGTTACTCAGTCCTTCCCACCATGCTCACTGCTTGGTAGGCTGGAGTCTTTTACGTAGTCTTTTCTGGTGGCCAGTGGTGAAAAGCCAATTCAGCCCTGGGTCGATGGAAAACCCATACCAACTGGTCCAAGTCAGTCGGGACACCCATGAACGGCTGAATGGAACACCCATACCCGGGCCCTTCTCCTTCTATCAGCACAGCTATGCAGGTTTGTTTGCTTGTTTGTTCTTTTCTTTCTTTCTTCTTCTTTTTTTCTTTTTTTCTTTTTTTTTTCAATCCAGACATATATGACCATCCGGACAGGAATCCGGACATGTACATCCGGACATGTCAGGATTATCTGGAAATTGCGGGAAATCTGGACGGTCGGATCAAGCCGGGAAATCCGGTGTCCGGATCTGTCCGGATGACTTGTCCACCACTGACATGCTGTCTTCACCCGAATAGAATGTACTGTCATTCCTATGCATCTGGACTGAAAGTTGTGCCAAATACAGGTAGAATGACCGTACATTTTTTTCGGGGGACGATGGTAGGTGTGCTTGGCGATGCTGTTCTTCTTGGAATCAAGTTGACTGTCAATAAATAGTATACAACCTGAAATGGGAAAACAGAAACCTTATGACAAGGTTTATCTGAGTACAGTTCACAAGGAGACAACAGTCAAATTATGTCACTAACCAGATTTTGAATTGTGCTTTTATTTCTCGATCTGAATGCTCTTCTAAAAACAAAAGGGCCCTCTCCATGGAGAAGTAGATGGTTGGATATCAAGCGTCCTACTAGTGAGGGGGCTAGCTTGTAGGACGGAAATACGGTACAGCAGCAGCGGAGATGGTGGCTCTGCTGCAGTAAGTCTTGCCGGAGTGAGGTAAACAGGATTGATGGGGGGTTTCTGAGTCATTTTCTGAACTTTGCTTATTCCTGAAGTTCGTCGTAGTATTTCGCTAAGTAATTCAAACTTTTCCTAGCCAAGAAAAAAAAAAGAAGTGTGCTTTTGGTTTTAAACCACCAGCACCCCACCAAGCTACCTGGGGAAGCCTATGTTCATGCCCGCATTCGGGACTGACTGGTGGAGAGGTTCCCCTTCATGCACTTCAGTTCTTCTCGATAAAAAATCCATAATTGGCCACTGTGGGAACCCCAGCACAGGGCTTGAAAACTTTGTGATGATCTACACTTTGCTTCCCGAGTTATCATCCTTTTTGCTATTCGGCGCTGCCATACATAAGAACGAATAGGCCTCCCGGGGGGCTAAAGGAAGTATCAATGCCGCCCACTCGGGTCTCTCAGCCATAGTGGAGAGAAGTGTCAGAGTGACTACATCTTGTTTTTTTCTTCTTTTTTTTTTGTTGTTGACTTGTGGCTGGAATAGGAACTGAGGGCGTCGTTAGACACTCCTCGGGGATGTGAAATCCCCAAGGAATTGTTCGTTCCACCTATCCTCGGGGATGCAATCCGAAAAAAAAGTGAAAACGCTCGTAAGGAAATTCCTCGGGCAATAGGAATTTCCCCAGCCATTTCTTCCTTGTGCACAAGGTACCTCGCGAATAGATCGAGCCGCTCCCCAGGTGGTAGTGGTGTCTGCTTTTATCAGCACCACTAACACTGTAGGTTTTTTTTTGTCAAAAAAAAAAAAAAAAAAGAGGTCCCTTGGGCACAAGGAATCCACATTTCACGGAGAGGAGAGGGCACACGGATAGATAGACGTTACAGCCGAGAATCTGGATAGTGGCGGCACCCTATTGGCTGAAGGCCTGAAGCACAACTGTTTTTTTTTTCTTTTCTTTTTCTTTCTGACATCGGTCTTAGGAAATGTCCTCGGGCGACGTCCCCGAGGACAGGTGGAACGAAGGGCCCAAATTCCTTTTGAGCCATTAGGAATCTTTTCTATTGCCCGAGGATTTCAATAGGAGTGTCTAACGACGCCCTGAACTGATGCTCCCCACAATGGATATGGACTATTATGGAGCCAGGGCAATGAGGGCCTCTTTGGTTTTTTTTTTTTTGAAAACACCCCCTTCAGTACTAGTGATGCTGGTACGAGCAGACACCACTAGTACCTGGGGAGGGGCTCCATCTATTGGTGGGGAGCTTCACCTGCTGGAAAACGGGTCCAGCGTAAAGCAAGTGGGAGACTTCTGCCAGCATTGATTACCTTGTAGACCAAGGGATTGACTGAGCAGGAGATTTAGGGGGGGAACCTCTTCGCCGTGAGCCGGGCGCCAGATATCTACAGCTGCCAACTAGTTCCTCCCTCCCTCACCAGTCACTTTTACCTCCCTTCAGTCCTGGACTGCACCTGCCACACGTGCAGAAAAGAAAGGCTATAACTGCAGTTCCTTCTAAGACATACCTGCTGCTGCACGTCTTGTTTCCCCCACCCCTCACCGACCTCTTGTACCATCCTACATCCCTACGACCCCGTTTAGCAGAATAATTTTTTTCTGCAGGTACCCCAGAACTCCCATTTTTTCCACTACCCCCCCCATACCAATCCAAGAGAAACAACGGCGGACGCGGCATGTTTTGAGTTCCTAAAGGCACGAAAAACAGGCCTTCGGCGACTGTGTCAGGGCCTGAGTTCGAAAAGGCGTTCGTAACTCAAGGCCGGCAGTGGTGTCAGGGCGGAGTTCGGAAAGGCGTTTTTTTTTTTTTTTTTTTTTTTTTTTTTTTTTTTTTTTTTTTCCCGTTGGTTTGTGCCTTGGAGTGGTTTTTTAAAAAAAAAAAAAAAAAAAAAAAAAAAAGGTGTATCGGGCCCATGGTCACCCCAGATTGGCCACGGCCGAGATGTATCGGTCACACCCCAGATTGGCCACGGCCGAGATGTCTCGGCCACACCCCAGATTGGCCACGGCCGAGATAGATATATCGGCCAAACCCCGGCCGTGGCCCGACCCTTTTTTTTTCTTTTTTTCAGCCGCGGCACGATGTGGCGCCGTGCGACCGACAAAAAAAAAAAAAAAAATCTCCTTGACGCCGCGGCGCGGCGTGACCGAAGAGGAAGGGAAAAAAAAAAAAAAAAAAAACGCCTTTTCGAACTCCGCCCTGACACCACTGCCGGCCTTGAGTTACGAACGCCTTTTCGAACTCAGGCCCTGACACAGACGCCGAAGGCTGTTTTTTGTGCCCATTACAAACTCCCATGTGACATAAACATACTTCCCCCAAATTTTCTGCAGGTACCCCAGAACTCCCATTTTTTCCACTACCCCCGCCATACCAATCCAAGCCTACCAAAGCCWGAGGTGAGGGAGGGAAAAGGTCGACGAAATCCGAAGAGGGCCGGGTCGGGAAAGAGGGATCAATCTTCGTCCAGTCTTGAAAGCATAGATGATAGTCTCTTTCCCCATCTCCCACAACCCCCCCCCCACACACACCCCCCCTTCCCTCTCCCTCCCTTTCCATTCTACCCTTGCAATCCACCCTCCTTGTTCCCCGCCCAGCAAGTCTTTTGAGAAGCTCTCAATGATTTGTCCGATTTCCTGTTTAGAGTGTAAAAAGCTGTCTTCTGTTTGACTCTTTCCCATTGGATAGTAATGTCTTCTTGTATTTGTTCCATACATGCAGCGCATCGCGATGCGCTGTACTTCGCACGTGCGCCGCACCGCGCATCCCGCACGACGCGCGCGCACTGCATGCGGCGCACCTCCAAAAATAGGGGTCGAAAAAAAAAAAACAGTTGTGAGGGGCGGTAGTAGACCCGGCCCCCTGCTCGCGTAAAATAAGAAACGGGCAGCCAAATTTTTTTTGGAGGCCGCGCGTTGGCCTGAAAGCTTGTAGTAACCTTTAGGCTGTAGTCCGCGTAACACTCTGTGTGCACGGTAGGGTTCTTGCAGTCTGTAGGGTAGGTTCTTGAAGGCCAGATTCAGTCATTATGACGGTCGCGATCTCTCAAAACGTTCTCTTCTTATTACTTCTGAAGTAGAAAACGACTGA